TATAATGTACTGGGGTTCGAGGACTTACGCACAGCGTACACTAGGTTACGCCCCGCGTATAAATAAATTAAGAACTTTTTCCATTAAGTGCTTAATACTCGATTCTTATATGTCTAAAAGTCAGATCTAAGCTTATTAAGACGGCCTAGGGCATAAAGTTGGCAACTTTATGCCTTTGCATGCTTCATATGTTCCCAACACCTCCATTAAGACCTTTCTAAGGTTCTTAACCCATGCATGAGGTCAAAACACTCACCAAGACTCCATTTTTATGTTGACAAAAGACCAAGGGACCTCAGATCTTTCATATCCATCCTCTGGAGTTGCTTAACTCACAAGAGGAGGTCCAAAATCAACCAAAGGGACAAAACTAGAAAACCCTAGCTAAATCAAATGAATTAGATGGCAAGGTCCAAGCTTTATACCTCCAAAAGCTTCTCAAGGTCGACTATGTGCAGATTCTTGAAGCCAAATGACACTTCAAGCTTCCTTGACAACTTCTCCTCCTTTAATGAACACTAAAAAGGACCACAAAGCACTCTTAATGCTCAAAATGCACTCACAAATGGTATTAGGGTTTCCAAAGACATTTGAAGGTGAATGAGGTTGTTTAGGGTGAGGCTCAAATGAGTTAAGGGTGTGTATATATATATAGGTCTTAAGTCCGGAAATTAGGGTTTTGGCCCTCTGTTGCATACGCATGGCGTACCCTTACGTTCGCCCCGCGTACGCAAGGCTCCTTCGTTATCCTTCTCTGATACTACGCTAAGCGTACCATTAGGTACGCCCAACGTATGAGAGGGACTATTTTTTCCAATTAGTTCATTTCAAGGGGTTCAAAGGTGTACCTGATTTGGAGTGTTACACAAATAGACCTAGGAATTCGCTGAATCCATACAAGAACTCGACGAGTTGAGTCGACTTGTCCCGAAACTGTACCAGGTAGAACTCGACAGGTCCGAGGAGGGAATCAATGAGTTGACTTTTTGTATCACGTCTACGAGTAGTAGGGGAACTCGGTGAGTCAGGGGCATAACTCGACGATTTGGATCGTAATTTCAAGTTTCCTGATTTATAAAACTCAGCGAGTTGATGGATCAAATCGGCGAGTTGAGTCGACCCAGAACATTGAATTTGACCAGAATGTTGATTTTGACTAAGGGTAAAGTGGTCATTTTACCCTAAGAAGGATTACTAGATTATGATTATCTGTTATTGTGATAATAATAGATGGGGAGTCGTTAAAGCAGCAGTTACGGATTCCTCGCTGCGATATTTCACATTCAGCTTTGAGAGGTGAGTTTTCCTCCAGTAGGAACAGGTCGAAGGCACCAATGCCGGCCCGTTTATGTATGTTAGTGTATGCCAGACTTAGGTTCGATGTCGGGGTTATCCTGATGAAGGTTATATGCTTCCAGACGTCGGTCCGATGTCGGGGAATGCCCAAGGAATGTTTGTATGCTTGATGTCTTCATGATTCTTGCATGTGTACGTTTATATGATTTGGGCTTCGGTCTGATGTTGGGGCAAGCCTAAGGAATGTTTATATGTTTATGTTCTGTGTTTATGTTATATGCTTGTTGATATGTATATGTATACCGGACTTCGGTCCGATGTCGGGTGGGGCCCGATGTAGTGGGCTACGCCCGATGTAGTGAGCTAGGCCCAAGTTATGTGTTATATGTTTATGTGATTATGTGTATGGTATGTGGTAGTTTGGGAGACTCACTAAGCTTCGTGCTTACAATTTTCAATTTTGTTTTCAGGTACTTCCGCTAGTAAGGGGAAGAGCTTGGGATGACTGCATAACACACACCACACCGTTTTAGCCTGGGAGGATTTACTATAATGTTTTGACATATGATTTTGATATATTGACAGATGTTACGATATTTTTGAGATACACAATTTATTATTTTATATGATGAATGATACTTATGGTTTTTACTAATGATTAAAGATGAAATTTTTAGACTGTATTTTTGGAATGTTTGAAAACATATCTCATTCATTTTAATTCGGATTGGCATACGATTTTTCCAACATATAATTTATAGTTTGCACATGATTTTAGAGTATAATTTTGTCGTTTTTGATTTTATATTCATTGAATTATAATCCTTCAAAGTTAAGATATCAAAGTTGAAATATTTCAGCTTTTAAGTTATAATTTTAAACATTTGTATTTTGTGAAAATCTTTAAGCAACCACATCTCATTCGTTTTTTAGTCGGATTGACATGCGGTTTTTTCTAGCATGTAATTTAGAGTTTGTAGATGATTTTAGACTATAATTTTATCTTTTTTTAGTGTTATATTCAATGAATTACAATCTTTCAAAGTTGGGATATCAAAATTGTCAGTTTTCAACTATTGTTTAGACTATAATTCTGAATTTTATTTATCTTTAACAGATACATCATATGATAAGGATCTCGGTAGAGTACTGGAAAATTCTGACTTCAAAATGGTAACGAATATTGTGGCATTCTTTGAAAAAAACAAGACAAAAAACATAAATTGTTTCGGCCACATCAAAACCTTTGGTAAAATTCAAGACATATATCTAAGAAATTGGTCAACCAAACCAATGTTTCTCGAAATGGTAAAGGACATAAAGACAAAATACAATAAGTATTGGGGTATCTACAAGAAGATGAATGATTTTTTGTACTTTGCGGTTTTATATTTTTTGTTCTATTTTGATACAGTTATTACTTTTTATTAAATATTAACAACATTATGGTTTCATATTTTTGTAAAGATTACATAAGCTTTAAATATGTTAGATTTAGATGACAAAGATATGGGGAAAATGCCAATGGAATATTAGATTATGACATTTATTAGTTGCACTGATTTTAAAGTTTAAACTATGAGCTTTGGTGTTACAGTCATTACTTTTGTATGCTTGTGTTAAGATTGTTAACTTTTATCGGTGAACTTGATTTATATGTTAGTTGTTTTTATTTGAAAATTTAATTTTACAAGTTATACTATTATAGAGAATGTAATTAATTAAGTTGATTCAAAGTTCGATCAACTGGTATAAGTAACCAATTTTTTTTTTTTTTTTATCTAAAACAAACAATCAAACTAACAATTATAGTTTTATCGAGTTGTATCGTATCAAACTCAAAAATGTATTCATTATAACAAGTGGTACTGTATGCACCTAAAGTTGTACTGGTTCAATGGGTACAAGAATCGAAAAAACCGGACCTCGACACGAACCCAGTAAGACTCAAATCAATTTGGTCCAAGGTCCACAAAATTATGCAAAACCGATTCGGTCCAAGAGCCGTCCGCTCCGATTCAATCTGGTCTGGTCTAAATGCTCACCCCTAGTTACATCTGACATTTCCCTTGTTTGGCGTGAGTCCAAGATAAGAGCAGTAAAAAGTGATTGTTGTAGGTCAGGCTATACGTTATAAGTGATGAAGAGATTCAAATTTGAGCACAAATAAAATAACGGTTCTTCAATATGCGGACAATGTCATATTCTCGGCTCCTGGTCAATGCAAAACGCCAAAAATCTTATTAGAATTCTATGTTGCTTCGAATTGGTCTCCGGACTGAAAGTCAACATTGTTAAAAACAGGATTTTGGGCTAGGAGTTAGTAGCGTGAAATTAGAGTGGCTTTTGAGAAGCGTGAACTGTTCAATTAGTAATTTCCCCTTTATATATGTAGGGATGCCACGAGGTGAGAGCGTGTCTAGAACGGTACATTAGAATCAACTTAGAGCGAAAAGTCAAAACAAAATGGTCCAAATAGAAAGCTTATATACTATCTTTTGAGGGTTGATTGATATTATGCTAAGCTATCTTGGGAAGTCTATGTTCATTTCTATTTTCACTATATAAGACACCGTTTAAGATAATCAAAACCCTCGAAAAACTGAGATGTTAGTTCTTTTGGGGTGGTTCCTCAGATAACATAAAGATGTCATTGATAGAATGGGATAAAGTTCAGTCTAAAAAAGACGACGGAGTTGACATTGGGGCTCTAAAGGCACATAGAGTTGCACTCCTAGGAAAGTGTTAATGTCGATTCAATTCAAGAAACACATGAACTTTTGGAATAAGGTTATTAAGGCGATATGGGATGGATGGGGTTTCAACGTTCCTTCGAGAGCAAAAAGAGAAGGGTTTTGTTGGGAAACTATAGTAAATCTAGGAAATAACCTTGCCAAAGACAACATATATATTCGTAGCTTATTCCCCTATCTCTCAAAAAGAGAAGGGTTTAGAATTGGAAGCTCTATTGCATGTCCTTTATGCAACATAGCTATCGAATCAGAATCTTATATGGGTGCTTGAAGCTTTCACTTGATCTAGTTGAGCTTCCGGGTGTTTCTTCTCAATGAAGCACTCATTGTAATAAGTAGAAATTCTAATGCAATCTGGAGAGAATTACAATACAACAGGGCAGACACCATGGTGAAAGCGAAGTTTAATCAAGATATGTTGCAGTTGGATGCTATAATTTGGTCAATTTTTCCCAATGACAAATTATGAACGATTCTACCCTTGTTTTCAAAATGGTTGATCTGAGAGATTGTTAGTATCAATTGGTTCGTAACTGTGTTATGAGATGGATAAGTAATCAAATGTTAGTGCAGAACATAGATAAAAGAAATACAATTACAAATTGGTCATCTAAGAGCCACCATATACGAATTAGAACAATGAAATTGTTAACAATCATATCCAAATTCTTCAAGAAATCATTACGAATTAGAACAATGCAATTGAAAAATCAACTTGTGCAATTCGATTTTGCTTAACTGGCCTATATAAGAGTCAAGATCATGAATTTATATCGAATTATTCAACGGGTTTCAATAATTATCTCCAACCGATTGGTATTTTCAGATGCATCGAGTTATATAGCACCTAGTGAAGTTCATAAGATTACAATAAACATGTCCAATTGAATTGTATACATGAAAATCAAACAGATCTATATGTGACAAAAATCGACTAATTTGTGCATAATGTTAAGAAACCTTTGATCCGATTGAAGAATCGGATTCTCCCTTTAGAAGCTTGTTATATTCTTCAAGCTCATCATAATATATGTCCCATACGCAGCGAACACAACCACTGCCACAGCAATCTCCCGGCAACGGTTTCTCCGGTGGCGGAGGGATCTCCGGCGACTTTTTCGTTTCCTTTGTATCCTTAACAACGTTCAAGCCATCACCTGATTGGACTTCTTTCTTAGTATGAGAATCATCCATGGTGATGTTGAAATTGAAATCAATACTTAGATCTAGATAACTTGTGCTTCTGACTGAAAATTGAATTGGATTGCGATGAGATCGATTAAGAGCGGTTGTGATTCGTCGAAGACTCTGTAAACTCATGGCCGATCGACGGCCAACGCCACCATGATGTCGGAGATTTGGAACACGGTGGTGATTACGCGACGGCGACGGCGACGTCAATGTATAGCACAAGTGTTTGAATGGGGGATAAAGAATGGAGAACGCTTCCATGTACTCTGTACGCCTCTTAATCAATCAAAGCCGTGTAATTGAAGAATAATCGATAAAGTTACAAAATTAACCCTTCACTTACTCTTTTTTACAAAAACATTCCAAAGAACAAATAATTTACTGAAAATAATACACAATACCTTTTCTAAGATTCTAATTTAAATTTACTTAAAACTTCATCAACAATCATTACAAGATCTACATACCAATTGTGTCACATGTTTGTCTTTTATAAGTTTTGATACTTATTTTGTGATATTTTTAAAATAAATAATATCCATATGTTAATTTTCTGGTTTTTCAATTTTTAAAGTTAAAAAGTCATATAATATTTATATTTATATATGTAAACTATTAAATGTAATAAATGTGATAGTAATAAACATTTCTTCTTTCCTTATTTTGCAATTTTATTTTAAAAAATATTTATTGTTTATACTTTGATATTTAATTTTTTTTAATCAACTCGTGTAAACACGTAGTTATAATATTCCGCAACCTTTTACACTCCATTTATACTTTGACAAATTGTAAATAATAACATAAACCAATATAATCAATTCACTTTACTTTTTACTTGTAATTACAATATACTTTTATTTCTTTACACATAATAGCAACACGCTTATACTCTTCACTAATAATAGCAATATCGACTTGAAACTTTTTTGCACCCACAATGGGAGTCTACTGGTTGAGGTATGGAATTTTATAAAAGATTTATTGTTTAAATATCAGCACGTCCAAAATATTGTTAGCTCTCTTTGATTTAACCCAATGTTATGTGCTTGGGATAGGTTTGGCATAGGGTGTCCACATGGTGTGGTTTATCATTTTTTACTTTAAAACTTTTACCCTTTTTTAATAATAGCAATGTTCTTATATTTCTTTACATGTAATAACAACATACTTACAATTCTTTACATGTAAAAGTATTAGATATTGACACATATCCCATATTCATATTAGACTACAATTGTATTAGATATACTTTCCATATTTCGTGAGAACCATTTTGTGTATTTAAGCAAACTCAGTTTGTCAATAATACTCAAATGATTGAGTTAATCAATAAAGATCAACCAATTGAGTTCTATCAAAAAAACAACATAGTTGCATTATCTAGCATACATAAAATGGATCATTCGTCACACATAAATGGATCATTCGTCACACATTACATGATTACTTAAAATACACACACTTAAAAATACATGATTGTAAGTTAGTTTTCATCTCATACATTAACACGCTTTTTTAATCTTTATAATTTAATAGAAACCAAAAATATCACTTTCACCATATTCGTCTCAAGAACTCAATGGCTTCTTCAATCCCAAAAGGAGTAGCACCAATCCAACATAATCATAGTTGTATGCTAACCTTAAAAACTCCAATTTGAAATTATTCCATGGTGGATGCCTTGGTTCAAGCTCAAAATAAAAGCTTCTCTCCAAAACTGCTTTTTCATGACTAAATGCATCAAAAGAATATTTCCCATGGTACCTACCAAACCCACTTTGCCCAACCCCTCCAAATGGTAAATCATCACAAGCAAACTACAACATAAACACAAGGGTAAATCGGTCATTTAACTACATTCACTTTGATCGAAAAAAAATATAGATTTTGCACATATACCTGAATCATGGTGTCATTAAAAGTCACACTTCCCGATGACGTTTCTGTTAATATTTGTTTCTTGAAATTTTCGTTTTTTGTGAATGCATAAAGGGCAAGAGGCTTTGGCTTTAAGTTGATGAATTCAATGCTTTCTTTAATGTTATCCAACTGTTATAATTAACAAGGAAATATTTTACATTAACACGACTTTTTGGAGGGTGTTTTCGTCTTTTGTATAGGAGACAAATCAAGAATGTTAAAAGGAAGATTATGCATTATTTCTTACAGTGATAATTGGAAGCAAAGGGCCGAATATTTCTTCATTCATGATTTCTGCATTAAGTGGAGGATCTAACAGGATTGTAGGTTCAATGATTCTGTAATCACATGATTGATTTTCCCAAAAAAATGTCATAAAAAAATAAAGAGTAAATTACAAAATCGTCCCTGTGGTTGACGAGCTTTTGTGGATGTCATAAAGCATGATGAAACTACGGTTTAGGGAAAAAGTGTTTAAAGGAAAAGTAATGGACCATATCCACAAAATGTTATAAACCAAAGGGACTATTTATGTAATTTAGTATGAAGCTAATTATAACTTATGAGAAAAAGGAAAGACAATTACAAATTCTTTTCATCGAAAGAACCACCATAAACAATACAATTTGCGACAGCAGGATCTTCAAGAAGATTTCTCAATCTATCAAAATGGAACTTGTTGATGATTTTAGACATATTTTTCAAGTTTCTCACATCATCACCATAAAATGTTTTAATCGTCTTCTTCAGTTCTTCAATCTAACATCATAAAACAAAATTGCATAAAGTAGTAAGAAATATCAACCTAGTTTCATTTATTTATTTATTATAACATCTTATTTTCATTTCATTCGATCATAAAAATTTAACTTCCATTGTACTTTAAAGAATCTATTTGGTTATAGCAATGAAAGTGGCTTTGTAATTTGTATTTGGATTAAATGGTTACAATTTGATATAAATTTCAAAGTACAATGTTGTAATAGGAAGAAATAAATCAAATTTTATAATGAAGATATAAATGAAAGTACATTGCTATTTATCGTATTAATTTAACCCCAAAAGAATTTGACAAAAATACCAGAGTGGTGGCAAATTTTTGTTCCACAAGCATATAATCAACACCTATGCAAGCTTGTCCACAACATGCCCCCCATTTCCCACTAGCAACTCTTTTTGTAGCCACCTTCAAAGTATAATGATATTATAAATAATACGTGAAAGTAAAATGATATAATAGTGTAGATTTTGTAGAATATGTCTTGAAAAGAAAAAAAAAAATGAAAGCACAATGTTGTAATATACATAGGTAAAGATAGGATGCCATATTTATAATAAACAAATTGTAAAACCTTAGGTGCGTTTAGTTGCGGAAAAATGGGCTGTTTTCCAGAAATTTTTTTTAAGAAAAATAAGAATTTTGAAAATACGTTTAGTTCAACAAATTTTCTAAAATTTTCATGGAAAATGAAAATTTTCTGTTTTCCAAAATTACAAAGAACTTGGAAAATTTTAGAAAACTAATAATTATTGTTTTCTACGTTTTTCTAATTCCAAAATTTTTCTAAATTACAAACACACTCATTCCCACCCCACGCTAAAACCCCCACATTACCACATCCCTACCCACCGTCACCGCCATCATCCACACCACTACTGTCTACCGCTGCAGCCCTCACCAACACCTTCCCCCATCACCACATCCACCACCATCCCGCCCACACCCACCCTACCATCACTACCGTTTTCCTAAAAATGAAAACCGATAGAAAAATACATATCTTAACACGTTTTCTACTTTTCTAAAACAAAAAATGAAAAAAAAAATAATAAAAAAAAAAAAAAAACTAAACGCGTTTTCTAAATTTTCCAATGAAAACTGAAAACGGAAAACGAAATCTGAAAAAGGAAAACGGAAAATGAAAATTGTTTTTCAGTAACTAAATACAACCTTAATATCTGCGTTATTAGGGAGGGAATCAAAGATGGCTGGACATTTTCCTCCAAGCTCTAATGTGACTGGAGTTAAGTGCTTTGCAGCTGCAGCCATTACAACTTTTCCCACTTTTACACTCCCTGAAAATTTTATAAATTAGTAAACCAAAAATCAAGCTTAATTGAAAAAATAAATAAATAAATAAATAAATAAATAATAAAAAAATTCTATTTTTCCTTATAGAAATGCTACCATTAAATGTTGTGTCCGTGTTTTTATATAGCACAAACCTGTAAAGAATATTTTGTCCCATTTATACTCTAGAAGTTGGTTGCTTACTTCCCTTCCACCTTCTATAACCTTAATGGCTTTAGAGTCCAAGTAAATTGGCAATAATTTGGCAAGATAAGACGAACAATTTGGGGCTAGTTCAGATGGCTTTAGCATCACTGTGTTTCCAGCTGATATTGCCCCTATCAACGGGTCCAATATCAATGCTACAAAAAAATAAATAAATAAATAAATAAATAAATAAATAAAAATAAAAATATTCATTAGATTATAAAGTTTCTACAAAACATAATAAAGTTTCTACAAAACATGACATGACATAACATAACAGGACGTGACATGATAGGAGATGTTATAGGATGACGTGACAGAACAAAATAGGACAATATTGTTGATTCATTAAGGATATAAAGTTTCTACAAAATATGATATGATATGACATAACATAACATGATATGATAGGAAATGACATAGCTTGACTTGACAGAACAGGATAAGACGGGATATGCAACAGAGTGAAAACGGACTGATGTTAATGAGACAAAATTTGCAGTTGTTTTTGTCCTATATAAAAAGGTGGTAAGAGAGTCACTTTCAATCTCTTGTCGGTGAAAAGACACGAATGCCCTCCTTGTCGTCGTCGTTCAAAATAACTTTAGCAAACTTGTCCAGTCCAGTCCAGTTCTGTCATGTCATGTTATGTTGTGTAGGTATACCAAATGCACACTAAATGTTGCTTACAAATGGGGAAGTTCCAAGATCCAATGATGAGGACGACACCAAGTGGTTCAGACAACAGTTTCGTACTTGCTGGGAGGAAAAGCAGAGGTAGCCAACCCTGCCAAAAAACATTATTTGTAACAAAATAAATCATATTGTTAATATTAAGCTTGATTAACGAATGATATAATATAGTAAAATACATGTAACATAATTCATATGCATAGAACCATTTAAGTAAAATCACAAAAAGAAATAAGCAAACCTTCTTTGGGGACATCCATTGGTCAATGCAACTCAATGCCAGGTCAACTGATTTCTTCACTATTCCAATCTGTCAGATTAAAAATTAAATATATTCAGACAAAACACCCCATCTTTAAGTTCATCT